AGTAATGTCAAATTAAATCTACCGCCTGATCTGATGACATGTTTCTGATGAATCAGAAGTTGGTATATTGTTGCATTTTGGGCTGGGACACATGTCACATGTGGCACCGTGCCAAAGAAGGATCATCTGAATAACTTAAGAAATACCAGCATGTGCATGAATCTTCATATATATTTATCTTCCTGAACAGCATTTTCTAGTGAAGGGTGCGGGATTGTGACAGAGTAACGTGTAGCCATACATTCAGTAGGTGTGACTTCCATGTGTTTTTTGACTCACAGCTACAGCTACAGCTACAAAAATAAATACAGTATAACAACAAAATAAGGACCGTGGTTCATGGTTCTCAATTGTAAGGAACCTTATGTGTGTTCTAATACAGCTCATATAAAGCCCAGTTCACACCAAAGATTTGCAAGTTGAAACTTGGAACTACTGATCTGCAACATACTGAAACCAGTGCAACTGGATGAGAGTGCATCATTTCCATAGCAACGACTCTCAATTAAATGAATTAATTGAGAAAATAATTGGCAGATTAATTGACAGTGAAAATAGTCATTAGTTGCAGCCTATATCCATTTTTTCACCATTTGTTTTCGCCTCATAATTATTCTACAGAAATCACATTTTTCTTGGTGTTCCTAAACCCAGATGGCACAAACAAATATCTGACCAGGCGGGCGTGTCAAAGATGACCACTTTTGTTTGGTAGATACATCATCAGAGGAGCCCAGGAAGAGGTCTTCCCCAAAAGATTAGATGATTAACAGTTTCCATCTTCTATTTCCAGGAATTGGCATTTCCTTCTCGTGGATCCCCGCCAACAGCATGGTTAGCCACTACTTTGTAAAGTGGCGTCCCATCGCCTACGCCATCGCCAGCACAGGCGAGTGCATCTTCGCCGTCATGTTCAGCCCCTTCTTCCAGTGGCTGATTGAGATGTACAGCTGGCAGGGCGCCTTCCTCATCATCGGAGGCCTTCAGCTCAACCTGTGTGTCTGCGGCGCACTCATGAGACCCCTGGAGACAGACCACAGCCCGCTACACGACAGTCTAGAGGGCGACGCCGCTCCGCTCCCGCCAAAGAGGAGAGTTCTCTTCCAGTTCTCCCTGATGAAAAAACCTGAGCTTTTCCTCTACATCCTGTTCGCCGTCTTCGCAGCGGCAGGGTTTTTCATCCCACCTCTCTTTCTAGTGCCCTTCGCCAGCAGTTTGGGGATGGATAAGTACTGGCCAGCCTTGATCCTCTCCGTCCTGGCCTTGGCAGACCTGGGGGGGAGGCTGATCTGTGGGTGGATAGCCAACATGAGGCTGTTCAGGAACCTGCAGCTGCTCACCATGGTGGTCACTCTGCTCGGGGTGGCGCTCCTGCTGCTGCCCATCAGTCACAACTACTGGGTCATCCTGGCCTTTGCCTCGCTCTACGGCTTCCTGTTCGGCTGCGTGGTGGCCATTCACGTCACCTCCATCGTGGACATTGTAACCCTGGAGGGATTTGACAGCGGACTGGGGCTCTTCATGCTTTTCAGGAGCATCGGTGGCTTCATCGGCCCACCTGCCGCAGGTGAGCAGTCGGTTTTAGATTGTCAGGTAGAGACCGAATACACAGCCACAGGTGAATGAGTTTAATGCTTCTGTGTGTGTTTGTGTTGGGACTATAAGTGTGGCACAACAGAAGCACACACGATCATCATCATTTAAAGAAGTTTTGACATCGGTGGCAAAATTATACTTGAGTTGAACTTTGATACCAAAACAATACTTTATCCAACACCTTAGTTTTGGGAATGAAAACATGATGTAACCCTTTTTTATTTGATACGATCCCCCTTTACCGATGAGGTGAAAATAAGGTGTCACAGCAGCACAAGAAATAGAAAGCTGCTCAAAGGCCATCAAAAAAAAAACAGGTACTTTTTGTCAAAAGAAGGTTTTAAGTTATTTGTAATATCATAAATAATATCCAGGAATTAAGTAATTATTATTTTAGAATGGAAAGTTGTATTCTACATATACGATGAAATGGATGCTGACTTTTGTGCACTGTCTAGGGAATCTGCTTACTGCAATCAATTAAGTTAAGACCATTTCCCCCATCGTGAAGACCAAATGACATGGGTCTTTCTTTTTTTAATAATAATAATAATATTAATAACAACAACTGTTTATTAGATGGTCCATTCTGTTTTTGTGAATATTAGAATCTCTTAAACAATCATCAAAGCTTTGCACCTGTTGCATTCTAAAAAGAGACCATTAGCACTTCTTAAAGTGACTCAGTTTCTTATAAAATGACAAAACCTCTAGTAGGACAACTCAAAATCCTTCTGATAACAGTTCTGGTAAATATGAAGCAAATACTTTCCCCAGAATGGATGTGAACGGAACACCTGTAAGAAGAAACGTATGATAAAGTATAGAGGTAACACTGATGTGGCACAAACTGCAGGTCCACATACTCATCAAGGAACTGATACTTCTGTTCATTTATTCATCAGCCCTGGCACACTGTGATCATCAGTTTCTTGTTCTTTTGTGCAGGCTGGTTGGTGGACGAGACGAATGACTACAGCGCTGCCTTCTACCTCTCAGGCCTGTGCCTCATTTCATCAGCAGTGTTTGTCGTCCTGGTCGACCGCCTCGTAGAGAGGAGAAAGTCTGTGGAGGCTGAAGGTCTTCAGGCAATCAACCAGGAGCACTGGGAAGCAGGAAAAGTCAAGTGAGACTCTGTTACATAAGAATTTTTACCTCAATGAACTTTAAGTGCCACAAGTGTTTGATCACACGCCAACTGCTGGATGGTTTGACCTGGTTTTACTGGTGATTCAGGTTTAGGTCAATAACTCTGTCGGTCCCAGCTGGGAGCCGGCATCCTGTCCTCTGTTTAAGCGAGGCTTGCACACAAACCGATAAGTCAATTAACTTATCACTAACCCTGGTCCTTGAAAGCAAAATGAGCTATCATAATTGTTTGTAACCCCTCCTTATGTGTTTTATTATGACAATCGATCAACATGTGAGGGTTAGGGGAAGTTTAACATTATTAGACTTTCAGTTTTTGACCTGGGACTGAGAGGGTGCAGACAGGTTTTGTTTTTTCCCCTCTGTCACAACTTTTTCAGTTTTTTAAATACCTTTTTTTTATGTTTTGTTTTATGTTTTTAGTTGGCAACCAATAGAAACCAGTTTTAACAAAGAAACACTGGTATTTTTAACATTATGGACTAAAAACCTAAACGTACTACAAGGAGTTTTTAACTGGTTGTGAAACAGTCTCGGTTTAAGACTGATGCCTCTATATGACCTACATAAATAAGAGCATCAGTGAGAACACTGGCTATTTCTACATAGTTATTCTTAATGCCGCCACCAGGTCAGATACGATGAAACGAGGCTGTTGCAACACTTCCGCTTTTGTCCACAGAGGCCGCCACAATCAACACAAATTGTTGTCGCTGCTTAAAACAAATGTTTTTTTTTTTTGTTGTTGTTGTTGTTTTTTACTGAGGAAATGTCTGAAATGGCTGCCCGTTTGTTTCTGGCTCTGTGATGTGTTCTCTTTTGGGGGCCAATATTGGAGCTCTATAGCACCAAAGAATAAGATGTATCCAGTAATACTCGTTATGTAATTGTTGGTTTTGGTCTTTTTAAAGGATTTGACAATAAGAAGCATGTAGAATATCACCAGACATGTCATGTATCTACGCAGCTTTGAAGGGGTCATTGAGGCATATTAATCTTCATGTCATGTTGACTCAGGTCAGGGAAGGAGGCTCCTAAAGCAAAATAAGAATATGTCTGAATGTATTTTAGGAAAAAGCATAGATATTATTAAGCTGTAGGACTCCTGTATGTAATCAGAGCTGTAAACCAAATGTGGGTCAGGCCACAGGAGGAGCCGTGCTCTTTAAGGCAACTATCCAGCTGTAAATAACTCAGGTGGATTTCTGTGTTACTGGTAGTTGGCCTGGCTCTTTAAGGGCTATTTTGTTGTCACAGTTCTGATGTTGCTTTTATGGTGTTCTTCCTCTACTATAGAGACTAAAGATGAAGTCTGAAAAGGAAACGAGGTGTATTAACTTTAACTTAAAACGTGAATTTTCTTAATGATCTTAGAAGAGATGAGATAGAAAGATAACTTTTGTTGTCCCTGATGTACTGTAATACCAGTTCTCATACGCACAATTGACCTCTGCACCTTTTTTTGTTTTTGTTTTTTGTAGTTTTAAATACAGTATTATGTTTTCATGTTTTGTCTCAATACGTGGATTGTCTTTCACCTCACTTGTTCTTGTAGCCGTTAAAAATGTTGAAAAACATGTTGAGTAATAAATCCCAGCACTGATGGTTTTAAATACATTCCTCACGTCTTGACTTATTCCTGCCCCCCCCCTACTGTTTTCATTACCTTTTTTAACTAACCTTTAAGCTAAAGGCAGATCCCAAATGGCCTGCTCTAACTTTCAGGAACTGCCCACCCTAACATGAAACTGAAACCAGGATGAGGATACTTGTAGTCTTTCAGGAATGTGGTATGTGCTTTACAAATTGCTCTGGAGTTAAAGTACAGTTATGTAACGTAATTATCAGTTTCAGCCCCTCACACTGAGCTGAGTTACTGTTTAAGTGTTTCCTTTTGAGCAAAAATTCCAAGAATACATCAGTTCCGGTTTCTCACATGTGAAAATTAGTTGATTAGATTGGCTATGTTATTTGGAGGGGGGGTATATCCTATATGTATTTATATAGATATAAATATAATCTAATGTGTGAATAAATGTGTGCTAAATGTTGAGTTAATCAGGTCTTTTATCCCAGGTTCAAGTCCACATCTTGAGATCATTGTCAGTATGAAGTCAAGATTTGTGAAATGAAAGTGTTCCACTAGTCACCTCTGGGTGGCAGTGTTGTCTAAAATGAGAACTTAAAAAGCACACCCTTAAAGACAAATTTTTAATACAGACATTTTTTTCTACAGACAAAACAGTTTAGATTAGAAAATAGTTCATTTAAAATTAAGACTTTATCTACTGTCAACAAATGTCACAACACACTAAGACATTTTCAAATAACACATGCATATTAACAAATCTACAATAAACTAATAACTCCTATTTTTTCCAGGTATTTGAAAAAAGAAAAAAGGGAAGGTCAAGGCAGCTATTTTACACAACAGAAACTGAGGCACCAAGGGCATTTTTATAAATGTTGGGAGTCTAGAAAACAACAATTGAACTGGGCTTACAGCACAGGATTTCAGAGGTGTGTTACGGAGCGGCCTCAGTGTCAAAGGGTGCACTTATTTTGCGACCTGGAAAAGCAAATGCTGCACCTTTGGTCCATTTGATGAGTTTGAGTAGGGGAAAATCCCATGGCCCCAGTAAATAGTGCATTCAGACGACACCCAGTCCCAATGTCCACCTCACAGACTGACATCCATTCGTAATAAGTCTGTTAGGGCTCCGAGCTCTTTCATTGTGAAATCAGCAAGTGCTTGAAGGCTCTCTTGCAGACTTCTTGAGCCCCAACTAAATACACTTTATGCACTGCCGCAGGCTCGGCTTGAGGGAATTAAGCACAATTTATAGGGCGCTAATGTTAAAAACAGGGAAAGCTTAAAAAAAAATCAAACAACTTTAGGAGAGCTGGAAGGAAACCATAGCATCAAGGACTGTCTAGTTTTTGTCCCATGAAGCGCCTAATGGTATTTTTTGATTGATCATACTAATATACAAAGGCGAGTATTCTTTGAGGGGGGAAAAAAAAAAGTTACTCAATTTTATTGAACGACATCTGAAATATGAGCGTCACACTACTGACAGCAAACATGCTTCTGTCTCAGCTAATGTAGTGCTGTGAGCCTTTATACCCTCCTGCTCTCACATTTTCACTGAGTGTGGGTGTTAATTCTGTGAGGTGTTACAGCTCAGGCCCGGGCATTGGGACTGGACCACAGGGAGCATCTATGAGGAGGCTCTCTTCTCCTCGTACGGAGACTCGTAGGCCTCCATGGGGGGGCACGTGCACACGAGGTGCTGGTCGCCGTAGATGTCATCGATCCTGGAGATGCTCGGCCAGAATTTGGTCTCAGGCCTTATGAACGGCTGGAAAGTAAGAAATGTGAGAACAAAGTTATTTAATGGGGATTGTTACGCTATACAGCTTTGTAGCCTTGTAAGTTTGCTGTAAAATAAGTATTCAAAAATATTTCTGAATCTGATCATTTTTAAAAAGGGTCTTGTTCACAAACTAATTCATCGTAGCTCGACAGATACTGGATTTTTGTTGTCAGGTGGATACATTGGCCAATTTTTTTTTTTTACATAAAAAAGACTTGATAAGGATTCCTTAAATTTTTTACCATGTTTTACCAAGATACTTTTTCCCTGATATTTTACAGAAAATAAACTTTTATTCATAATGAAAATTAGGTAGTTGCAGTCCTAAAACCCAATACAATCGAGGTACATGGCGTTTCAGGGGGTTTGTTAACAATAAAAATAACATAGAATAAACGCCAGCCTTGACACAAGATCGTCTACACTTACGGTTAAATGAAGAGTAAGCAGCTGTAGAGGCTGTTGTACATCAACTGAATAAAACAATTCATAAATTACATCACTGGCCATTGAAGCCATTTCTTTGTTGCATTTCTTACTTCTTACCACTAGGGGGTGACACAGACAATGAATTATTATTATTATTATTATATATATTTTTTTTTTACCTTAAGCAGTTGAGGTTACGAGTGCTATGAAAGAGCTGCTACATAAAGGTTGTAGCAGGGAGTGTGTAATGAAGTCGGAGCAATGAGGACACTCACCAAGGGGAAAGCAGCGTGCTCCCTGGAGTAGGGTCTGTCCCAGTTGGAGGATGAGATGCAGGCCAGAGAGTGAGGAGCCATCTGTAAACGAACACACGTGAGGACCTCAGATGTCAGTCGCTGCTTTATACATCAGCCGCTGTAATGCAGCTTTCCATGTCAAACAAATAAACAAAGGAAGCCAGTAGCGTACCTTGAGCGGGTTGATGCGGGAGTCCATCCTTCCCTCCTCAATGTCAGCGATCTCCTGTCGGATGCCAAGCAAGGCGTCACAGAACCGGTCCATCTCGGCCTTATCCTCTGACTCTGTGGGCTCGATCATGAGGGTACCAGCCACCGGCCAGGACATGGTGGGTGCATGGAAACCTGGACACCAGCACAACAAAAACACAGAAATCTGAATAAAAATGTTTAGCACACGGTACTAACAGTTGTAGAGCACTTCCAAATACAGTAACATATACAGTATTATTATGTATTTAAGTCAGCCTACCGTAATCTTGCAACCTCTTGGCCACGTCGACGGCCTCAATGTTAGCAGTCTTCTTGAATGGTCTTACATCCAGAATGAACTCGTGGGCTACAAAACCTGTTAAGACCATCAGCAAACTGTTTATTTTCCCTACATAATTCATATTCTTTTAACTTTGTTCCCTCCATATTTTTTCCCTGGTCATCCACGCCCACCCTGCCGTGGCTCTCCCTCTATCATGGGGGACTTGCCCCACAGTTTGAGAACCACTG